TCTTGCCTCACACGCCTTCACCTTTTTGTTCATGTTTTCTTTTTGCTTGTACTGTAGATGTATTACAGATTTTATGTTGCTAAATTATATTTCTGGTATAGTTATGATCCATTTATTACCTGCCAACTTAAAATGTTGTAAACCTTGAAGGCTTTGGAGCACAGACTTAAGTTTGGTCTTTCCTTGGCAGATAATTGCTAAAGTGAATTTTTTATTTTTTTCATATGAAATTTTCCAAAACAAACACGTTTTACTCTAAAATTGTGAGAAGATCAAAGCCATAAATCTAAACAAGTTGTGTTCCAATTTGATTAATATGTAAAAAAAATTTTCATTGAGATTTTGTTTGCGCAGAAACCAAACACTTTCACTAGACGAAATTCGCTTCCCATTCGTTTCCAATGTGGTCATTTGACCATTTCGAATATTTTCCTCTTTTTTTTTTTCATACAGCAAGCGCCAAAACCTTTGCCAAGTTTCGTGCCACCCCGATAAAGTAAAAAATCCTTAAAAAACAAAAGGTTTTTTTTTTTTTTTTTTTTTTTTCTAAATTCAGGGTTGAGACAGGAATTCTAGGAACCAGTCCAGAGGTGGTTGGTTAAAGTTATTAACTTTAAAGTGTTAGTTCACCCAAAAATGAAAATTCCTTCAGTAATTACTCACCCTCATGTTGTTCCAACCCCATGAGATTTACATTCATCTTCGGAACACAAATTAAGATATTTTTGATTAAATCTGAGAGCTGGATCACTCCTCCATAGGCTTCAATGGGACTGAAACTTGCTGGCCCAAGTTTTTAAAGACATCATTAAAAGAGTCCAAGTGACTACAGTGTCACTCAATCTTAAGTTTATCAAGTGACGAGAATACTTTTTGTGCACAAAAACAAACAAAAATAACAACTTTATTGTGAACTATCCCTTTAACTAAACTTGGACTCTTGTATGTCTGCAAATCACTTTGAGGTTCCACACTTTTGCCTCTTCTTTTGATTTCAGCCCAATCCGCCAGCTTTTCCTCTGCATCAGCTTTTCACTCTCTACACTGTGGGCGCAAATGCCAGCCAGCGCTCCACAAAGCCAAACACCGGAGCCGCACGCCTGTGGCTTTGAGAAATGCAGGTGTGCTGCCCAGGTCTTTAGAGAGATGTTTTCTTTCCACGTGGTTCATCCCAAAAACAGCACATCAGTTGTGGGTAAATATCCTGCTGGTTCCAGCGTACGCCAGCACTTCAAAGCAGCGAGAGCTTCCTGAGAAGAACTAGGGGGGAGCCAGGGGTTAAATCAGTTTGGTTGCCGTCTACTTTAATGACTTTCCTTTCCCATAAAGTTGCTTCTGCACTTCAAGCATCAGGAAATAGCTTAAGTCTAAACCTAAATAAACCGTAACATTTTCGTCTCCATACTGAAGATGTTTGTTTGGGTTGACCGGTAGTGGCAATTTTGGTCATTGGTTTTGGTAGTGACTGTGATGCTGCAAAAGGACGGAATAAAGACTTAATCCTGCCAATCAAATGAATGTTGTTTTTTTTTATCACCTGAGGGTGATTATGGGATCAGGTTGGCTAAGTTTGAACCCCAGAATAAGCAAGTGTTCACTCAGGCAGAACCACAGACTCCTGCTGAGGTCCTAATTTACTCACCTGGGGCTGAATTCATTCCCTCATCTCTTAATTAAGACTTGGAGAAAGACAGGTGACAGGGATGGTTTCATTTTTGTTAAGGCAAATTCCCTCTTTTCTAAAGATTAATGGCAGCTATATACTGTCTTCACTCTCAGAAAAAAAGTACAAAACTGGGGAGGTACCCTTTCAAAATGTACACCTTTGTACCTTATTACCCCTAAAATGCATAATGTACCTTTTATAAGTACCTAAATGGTACATATTAATACCTTTTGATAGGAGACCGGCCTAATGTGTCGAATTGCCATAAAGCAGTTTGTGTTTCTCGCTCGTTCTCGCTTCTCACGAGACTTCCTATTTCCAACTTGCCTGGACGTTAGTCCTGATGTTGCAAGGTTGGTTTTCCGCCTGGGAACACTGGGTGGAGTGGGGAAAGTAACCATTCTCTCCAGAATAGGTATTTGAACCACACTTTTATCTATAATTTTTGATATGTTTTGGCTTACCTCAAGGGTATCCAAGATGTAGGTGTCTTTGTTTCCACAGTATTTTCAATTTTGATATTTTTAGGTCAAACCGTTCTAGTCTATCAATCATACACTGGAGGTTTATGGGGTTCTCCTCAAAGAGCATGCACAGAGAAGTCAAAATTAAATATGATTTAATGACTCGTAAATGTAAGTACACATTGATGGCCTAAGACAAAATGAACAGTATTTATATCGTTTTTATCTCTTGTAACCACAGCCATGTCCACATAATCTGAAGGCCTACAAATATCAAAATTGAAAATACTGTAGAAACAAAGACACCTACATCTTGGATTCCCTTGAGGTAAGCTAAAACATATCAAAAATTAATTTCAACTATCCCTTTAATTTGAAATAGTTGCCAACTGCCCCTTTAAAAGTTACCAAGAAAATGTAGGGTTTAGGGTTAGGTAAAAAAAATGTATTTTTTTGACTTTTCATTTGACCTATTGACCTATCTTTTTTTTTTCTAAATATCTTTTCACAAAACTTGTGCTGATAAAGATTTATGATGACCAGTCTCTTAGACTTCCTAAAATCCCTTTTGTAGCCACCAAACCCCAGTTTGAAAATGCCTGTTCTATACTCACCATTTATTTCTCCATGTGTGTTTACCACATCTTAAGATAATTTAAGCATGTCATGACCCTTCTATCGAATTAACTTTTATTTTATTTTATATTATTTATAATAAAATAGTCTTTTATTAGAATCGTTATTTTTATGTCATGTATGTTTGTTATTCAAGGGCCTCTTAGTTAATTCTTTCTCTGCCAACTTCTATATCATTAGCTGATTCCTGCTGAGTTAATGGAGCCTTAAAACTCCAATGTCTCTCTCTTGCTTAATAAAGAATGTTTATTTTACATTTGTCACGGGGGAATCCAAGGAAGACGAGGAGGAGAGTAGAATAAACATACAACTTTAATTATGGAAGCTCAGGAACAGGTAGACAGACTGACAGCATGTAAACACGAACAATACCGGACAAGGGAGTGAAGACAGGCAGGAACTTAAATACACAGTGACGGTGATTAATAAATGACAATCAGCTGTGCGGGAGGTGATTAGTGTCCATGGAAACAGATGAGGGCGGAGAACTCAGACGAGGGGCACACGTGGTAAATGAAAACACACAGAAGGTCCAAGGGTGGTGACAATATGGCCAGATTCTGAAACTTTTTATCATATTTAGATGAAAATGCTGATTAGAAATGCTGCCGTTACTGTTTCTTTCTTTTTTTGTCTTTTTCTATTAAAGGTCAGAATGTTTCCGTCATCCCTAACTTAAGGCATGTCTTGTCAGCAGTGGATTTGTGATCATGTCACATGTACCTGTATGTGTGTCTTTAAAATCTGACCACCGTTATTTACACCATCTCACGTGGCAGGTGCTTGTGGTTTTTACTTGTATTTGATGACCTGATGTAGACGAGGTCTGTCTGCCCACACAGCTATTGAAACTCAATCTCAGATAGTTGTTCAATAACGTCCCGTGAGTCACAGTAGTGTCTAAAGTCTGTACAGCATGGAAATGGAATGAAGCTTCCTCACAGGCCTAACATCAGTCATCATGAACAGACAGTCTGCATTTCTCACTTTTTCCATTGCTGTGTGTTTCTCTTGCTTTAGAAAAAAAACTGAATAGACTCAACAAAATGTATTAGTTTACATTACAAATCATGCAGCAAAAGTGTTTTGAGATATTGTGTAAGGAGTAAGTGTGTGAAAATAAGTCTTTATTAATCGGTAATCTGCCCTGGCCTGAAATCATAAAGAAATAAGTTGTTTTGTTTGTTTGTTTTTCTGCTGGAAAAGGTGTATATATAAGTTTTTTGTCATTTTGTAAAAATGTAATTGTTTGAGGCTCATTACTCTAAAAAGCCTACGCTTGGGAGGAGGGTTACAACATGTTCTCAAACACTGTGACACTGAGGGATGTTTTTACAGAGTGAAAATGGCTATGAAAACATTTTCCCATGTAGCATTATAAATGAAAGCGGCAGTGGTTCTTTTTTAAAACCTGGAATCTGTCATTTAATTACCTATGGAAACAGTAAACGAACATTTCATGTCATTTCATAATGTTGTGTCTAACGAGTGACCATGAATTGGAATATGTCAGAATAATGTGTATTGAGAGAGTTTCCCATTTAGGAAAGTTTGCTTGGAAGTCATTTCGAAGTGTGTGCAATGGAAAATGCAGATACCAATATTCCACTTGTATGTTAAAATACAGCATGTCATGTTATTTAAAAGTTTCTTGTTTTTGTGTTCATGTGCATAAGTTCAAATAGACTGTTGGGAATACAATGCCCACACAAGGCCTAGACTGGTGGGTGCATGGGGTTCAATGCTGCTTCAACTGACTTAACCCTTCTGGGACCCAAAGCACGTGGTGCATCCTGAGTAATTATGTTTCAGCCATGAAGAGAGTGCAAGAGCTTTCTGAGGTTCAGGTTTCATTATACTATCTTTTCGCCTTCCAGATCTCTCCTATGCACAAGGCAAAGCCTCATTAACACTAAATCCCATACACTGGTGTGTATTAAGTTGGGGTGGTGATGGTTTGGTGTGAGAGACCCGGGTTCGAATCCACTGTGAGACACCAATGTGTCCCTGAGCAAGACACTTAACCCCTAGTTTCTCCAGAGGCGTGCGACCTCTGACATATATAGCAATTGTAAGTCGCTTTGGGTAAAAGCGTCAGCTAAATGAATACATGTAAAATGTAAGTTGCATGTGACTGGTCGTATTGGTGCAAGGCAGGTTTTTATTGTGTCACTAATGTTATTTGTGCAACTTCTGTCTAACAAGTGCTGTTACTTTTTTCTCATTTATTGTAGATGTGGACCTGTCGGTGTGCAAGCACGCTGGGCCATCATGTTGCACGCGAAGAATGGAAGACAGCTACAGAGCGGCAGTCCTGAGAGACACCACCCAGAGCATCAGATCATACAGCTTTGAGCTGAAATATCTCATTTCTGCACATGCCATCGCCTTCCAGGGTATATGGATGCATGGATGGATGGATGGATGGTTGAGGGATGAATGGATGATAGATAAGTGAAATGGATTGATAGATAAATGGATGAATTTATATGGAAAAGCTCATTGGAAAAATTGCCTCTATATGTTGTATGTGGATAGGTACAAAATGTACTTATACATACAATTCACTGCAGTTTCTGGTTGAAATGAACAACCTTTTTCATGAAAAATAATGATTACAGGGGGTTGATTATTGATTGTTAATGACACATGGCCAGATTTGCTAAACAGAGCAAATTAGCGTGAGAGCGCACTTCCATAAAAGCACAGATGGGAGTGGAAAGAGTGGAACTGCAAATGAATGAATACAGACGCAGTGGGATCATTTCCATTAGGACCGACTCAATCTACTAAGAGCAGCACTAGAGCATTATCGTAGAGCCGCTGATAACCAGGTGCAGGTGATCTACTAACATCACAGACGCAAAATGGGTTAAGACATAATTTTTTTGGACATTAGGAAATGGCAAAAACACCAAACCTTAGTAAATGTCATTCATTTAAATTAGAAGCCGACCGATATGTTTTTTTTCACGCCGACACCGATCTTTTGAAATCCGGGTCGGCCGATGGCCGATTAATGCTGCCGATTTATTTTGGCCGATTTTTGGCTGATATTTGCTTGGTTTTTAACCTCTATTTGAAAGATGAAATGTAAAAGAAATGATAATTACTTAACATAGACATTTTATCCTCTCAAAAACTGTCCTGAAACATGCTCACTTTGTTTTGTTTGTTGACGGACAAAGACAAATGGACATAACCTAATTATCACAAAAAAGGAGGAAAAAAACCTGATTTAATTTTGATTTAATTTATTTAATGATTTGATTTGATTTAATTTTTTATATATAAGATTTATTATATTTTATTTAATTTAACTTCTAACAATATCGTATTTCAGTAGTAAATTGCTGTTGAACGACAAAAACAACCACCAGATCGGAAAAAGATTTTTTACAAAAACTTTAAATGCACCACAATGCACCATCCTTCTGTTCTTCAGACAACGGCATCCCGCTGTTGGACCTTTTAGTCTACAATGAAATACAGTCACACTTTACACTGTTTGGCCAGCATTTTAACCATGTTTAATCCAGCTACTAACTAGCGGTCAGTGTTGTGCCTGAACGCGTTCATTGAATGATAGTTCATGAACGCGTTCATATTTAGGTCTGCTGCTCACTCGGCTGGAAAATGACTCTAGCGGCTCTAACACTAGGCTGCCCACAGATGCGCCTGCCTAATAATCGGCTTGATATACTTGGATATTGGCCGATGCCGATTATGTTAAAAAACGCCAAAAATCGGCCGACCGATTAATCGGTCTACCTCTAATTTAAATACTCTCCTCTCATAAATGTTGTGTCTGATAGGGAAACTCCCTACAAATGGAAATGCAATAAATTCATCCAAAAAATAACTGTCCTGGCCTTTTCAGCGCAAATTTTTCAGTACGTTACTTTAGTAAATCCTCACAGTAGTTTTTTAATGCCAAAAATGAACCTGGATTTGAATGGATATATAGCAAATTTCTGTGTACCTCTTTGTTAAACCGTAGTTTGACTTGTTTAATTGGTAGAAATGGCATAGTGTTTTTTCCCCCATGTGGTTTGGCATATTGAGATTGGTAGAGACACTTACGAGTTTCATCTTTGGCGCTGGTTGTATGTGAACAGGAAGCCTCTTCTCATCGTCTTGATTAAAGGCCCAGATGTGACTTTTAGGAAAATGTGAACTAGCTGCAAATATTCAGAAGCATTTAAAGTCTTAAATTAATTATGTTAGATTATGTTCTATAAAGTCTAGTTAACTGAGGTTTGGTTGGGTTTTACTGCATTCATTCTTTAGAAGGGGAATTCAAAGTACTTGCCCACACTCTCACGAGTGTCGAACCCAGTGGCCAAACCATAATCGGCAGTGGGGCTTTAAAGAATCTCAGTCGTATGCAGCCTTGTGTGTGCTTTGGCAGAGAGCACCGGTTGTTATTAAGGTCTTCTGTCAGTTCATTCATGAGTATCAAGCTTTGGTGTGAATGAATGAGCTCTCACATACACTATTTCAGTCCTGCGCTCAGGATACACTAATTTTAACACGATCTGTGGCCACAGTAACTCCACAGAAATGGACACATACTCTTATACTTTCTACATCTCACAAGAAGGTTGCAAACCACATACATAGTTTTTGGTTATGCTCGTCAATCAACCCTTTGTCTTTCCCAGACCGTTTTCTTTTGGCAACATATCCACAAGACGTATCCAGATTGTTCACTGCATTCCACTGATGTGTTTCTTCTAACGCTTGTGTCTCGAATGCGGAGATATGCGCAGAAGGTTTCGCCGCCGACAGGTCACATGCAGTAGGAATGTTCAAACAATGGAGCTGATCGCCTTTTACGGCTGCTGCTGGTGTGTGTGTGTGTGTGTGTGGTGTCTGTTTGAAAGACTGAGAAACCTATAGTCTTTATAGTGATTTATAGATTCTCAACCATTGTTCTTTAGGTTCTGTATGGATCAGGGTTAGTGAGGAAGATTGGTTAATGGGTACACCTAATGTTTAACAAAAACTTTTGTATAAACATTCATTCACTTTTAATAGTTAAACCCTCAAGCTTTTATTTTGACAGAAAACTGCAGGAAGACCTTTCAGTTTATGTAGCAACAGGTTTACAAATGTTTTTTTAGGGCTGTCAAACGATTAATCGCGATTAATCGCATTCCAAATAAAAGTTTGTGTTTACATAATATATGTGGGTGCACTGTGTATAATTATTTTATATATATATATATATATAAATACAGACTCATGCTTGTATATATTTAAGAAATATTTTCATGTATATACTGTATATAGATTTATATATAATTTATATATAAATCTAAATATTTTAGATATAAATAATATTTTTTTTCTTAAATATACATGCATGTGTGTGTATTTATATATATATATATATATATAATATAATTATACACAGTGCACCCACATATATTATGTAAACACAAACTTTTATTTGGGATGCGATTAATCACGATTAATCTTTTGACAGCCCTAGTTTTTTTTATTTATTATGCTGTCCACAAAAATGTTGTAAATTATGCAAATGTGAAACTTTTCATTTACTGAGAACCTCTGACATACTGAAAACACCGGATCATAAGATGCTCGCCTTGGGATAGTTCACCCAAGAATTTCAACATTTCTGAGTCATCATTTACTCTAACTCATAATGTTGTTTCAAAACTCCATGACTTTGAAACTACACAATTGGGTGAGTACATGACTCATAACGTCTATAACTTTTAAAATCTGTAACTTCTTTAGAAGATATTTGTTAAAAAATGTCTCAGTGTTTGCTGTATAGTTCACCCAACGAAGAAAATTTACTCAGCCTCTAGTTATTCCAAACCTGTATGAATTTCTTTCATCTGGAGATATTTTGAAGAATATGGGTAACCAAACACTTGATGGGCTCCATTAACTTCCATAATATGGGAAAAATATTCTTCAAAATATCTAATTCTGTGTTTAGCAGAAGAGAGAAATTTATACAGGTTTGGTACAACTTGAGGGATGACAGAATTTTCATTTTTGGGTGAACTACCCGAAGTTGTCTTCTTTTGTTTTCTGCAGAAAATTACACGAGGGTGAGTAAATAATGACAGATTTTGGGTGATCTATCCCTTTAAGAATAATGTAGAATATGTATGTATCGCCACATATTTGCAATGATTGTGAGAATTGTTTTCTGTAAACAATACAAGAGACTGCAAGAGACATTGTCTCCATCCTGGATTAATAATTAGCCTGTGGCGTACAGACATCCTATCTGATTATAGACTTAATGTAAAACTTAATTAGAATGTTGATTTTAGATTTTCCATCATTACTATATGATTATAGATAGAAGGCATGTGTTTGTTTAGGTTTCTGTCGGTGTGTGTGAAACTGTCTTTTCTCATCTCATTTAAGGAAGTTCAGTAGACAGTTGATTATCTAGCTTCATCGTGACAGTGGTTATGTTTGTAGTAATAAAGAATTTAAGGGGTTATTAAGGATAATGTGTGCTCTGATCATCTCAGACTAAGGAATCACAGAATTGAAGAGAAATTGGTAAAGGGATGTTGAGACACTGTCCGTGAGAAAACGTTTAATAGACAAAGGCTTTGTTTGGAATGTTTAAAAATGCATAAAAATGTATTCTTACTCTATATTTGGTAATTTATCCAGTTCCAGTGAATTAATTACTTAACAATCGAAATATACTTGTCAGGGTTATTATTTTCGAGTTGAAATAAAATAAAATCTAAATATTAGTTGAAAAACTTAAACTAATTGGAATTTAGAAATGTTACCTCGGCGATAAACTGAAATACAGTTTAATTTGAAACACTAAAATTAAGTAATTAAGTAAAAATTCATTATAAAAGTAACCAAAACTTATTCCGAAATAAAATAATTTGAACCTAAATAGCAATCTAAAAAAACAGCTAACAGCTAGTAAAATGACAAAAGTACATGAGAAAATTAACATAACTCAAAATATAAAATTATAAGCTAATAAAATTGAAAATAAAACTGTAATAAATAATAAATAAATGAACACTGATAGGGTAATTGTCTAAATATCTGATTTTTTTTAATCCCCTGTCTAGTGTGTTGCCTTATTATACATTACTGTGTAAATGTGTAAAAAAGTCTTGTGCATTGCATTCCATTGAGATACCGAATCTCACTGCTTTTAAACTGCACATTTTGCCAAAATTGCCTTGTTCATTCTGATGTTTGATGGAATGGTAGAATGCCATTCTGAACAGATCCAAAGAAAGGGAAACAATAGCCGCATTTCCACTGCCGGGCCAGGGCCGGGCCGTGCTAGTGCGTGCCAGGGCCAGTCGCGTTTCCACTGTCACTTCCGGGGCTTGATCGGGGCTTCCTCAGGGCCAACGGCCAG